AGTCACTCGGTCAACAAGTCCAGTCTTTACCCGAGTCATGCAACTCGACCTCCGACTTACGACTCGCCAGTCCTAAACCTGAGCCCAAGACCAGTCACTCGGCCAATAGGTCCAGTCTTTACCCAAGTCACGCAGCTCGACCTTCGACTTGTGACTCGCCAGTCTTAAACCTGAGCCCGAGACCAATCACTCGGCATACGGGTCCAATCTTCACTTGAGTCTCACAGCTTGGTTCCTCGACCAGCGACTCACCGGTCTCATTCTGCTTGGGCCTAGCCGCCCATGCTAATAGTTCAAACCAAGGTCTGCCATACCATACTGTACCAGTGTTTCGACCGGGGCTCGATTTGGTACGGTACGGTGTACCGAGTGGTACACCTGATTTTACCGATTTAACCCTCCAAAAATACTTGAAAATTAGAAAAAAAAGTTAGGATAGGGTTTTCAAGTTACAAATAAATATAGTAATAGTATAAGTTTAGCAAAATCAATGTAAATTAGGTAAAAATAGTATCACATATCTTTTTCAGGCTTTGAGGTAGTCTTGTTCGAGGTTCGCATTTCAGCCCGTTATAGATTGAAATATCTACAAAAAAATTAGTTGAATTGTTAGACTATTTTGTTACAATATAAACTCTAAAATTCAAATAAATTAAATTATCACATATCTAGATATACCTGATTGTTGATTCTACCACCAAATCAAACGATGGGCTTCCACGGGTAGTGGATCAGGGTCCTCGATCCGATACATATCAATATGATACGTTTGTTGGACCCAATTATGAAATTTATCCTATGACATAGTGTATTGATACACTGTGTGTCATTGATGCATCAATGTAGTGCTGATCGTAGACTGATCGTCATGAATCATATTTGTCCGAGGCAGCTCTTGAGGTATATATTGGTGTTGTTCTGTATCATGCTGTTGCTTAGAGAAGGATGCCCAACTATCACCATATTGTTGTTGCTCGTATGATTCTCCATAATATAATGAGCCTCTTTCTGTGTCTATATCATGTATGCTCTATCGTATTTGTTCATATTCATCCAGTGCCTTCCCCTTCCCCTTCCCCTTCCGTGTATAAACTTGACCAGTACCTTGTCGAGTTCCATGATCTGAATCTTGAGTGCCATGTGTAAAATATTGCTCCTCAGTCCATTCACTACTCTCAAGTTGTGTAGACGAGACCAACGAATGCCTGGCATCATCGCCATCATCTGTCGAGGCACTACTGTCCGTGTTGCTGTCATATCTCTGGACCGAGCGAGAAAGAGAAT